ATCATGAGCATAGTTTTGCAACTGCCACATGTGTAAAAAGTACGGTCTTGAAATTCCTGATGAAAACTGCTTATTTTTGTTTGTTCAGAAGATGTACCGGCAACTCCTCCATTTCTGTCCATCTTGTCCCCTTTGAAGGGCGATGGACAGGATATTTGTCTGGCCGCCGGGTTCTTTCCTGAAGATAAGACTATGACTTTGACTGTGGGGGTTAATAAACCTGTGAGTCTTACCACCAGCGAAGCACCCTTGTTTAAATCGACCAAAACCTATTATTATGCTGGATTCAATGGTGAAAAAATGCAAAAATGCGAAATGGATGGACAAACAGCAAACAAAACTCTTAGCACTCCTGACACTCCTGACACGACAGGTTTGTACTTAAATGGATAATTATTGTTTCTTTTAAAAAAATGTTTTAATGTGTTTTCATTTAAAAAAATGTAATTATTGTACATATAAAATATATTAATAAAGAATTATTTGTTTTGTTCTTCTTAATATTTATTCTGCAGAAAACCCCCAAAAACTGACTCCACAGTCTTGTCAAACAAGTCTTAGTACTGATGCCTCAGAGTTCATAAACACTGGTTAGTAATAAAATACACAAGATATTCTACATGTATAGCTTGCATTTGTGAATTGATCTACATTATGCGCCATGATTTACAAGATTTAAATTCATTTAATATCAAAGGATGATTAATTTATTGTTTACATTTTTTCAGGTGATCCAAAAATGAACTCCATGAATCTTCTTGTGACAGGTCTGAGAATTCTGCTTGCTAAATGTGTCACAGTTAATGCATTGATTACTGTGAAGGCATTCATATTTTAAAAGTTCAATTCAGCCAAATCTTTTGAATAATCAAAAATTGTAACTGTAACTTGATCAAATATCCATGGCAAACAAACAAATGCGATTATAGTCAGCCACAGGGTCACTATTTATATATTCTCTCTAATAATGTTACATGGAATGAAAAATACAAATTGTTAGTAATGTATTTCAAATATACAGAATATCGATAAAACTTTTATTGCAAACTTTTAGAAACATTTCTGAATTCAGTGGTATAATGTGCAAATTGCTTTGCTATGGTGTATGTCTTTTCAGCTTTAGTTGCAGACAAGTGCAAGTAAATTTTTTAATACTTTTTTTAAATATTTTTTTTACAAGACAGTATTGCATTGTTTAAGAATTTTATATTGTCTAATTGTGTAGCATAACTATTTGATTTAACTATTGAGGCTCTGATCTTTGCATGTAAAATGATTTTTCAAAAATATATTAAATAATAAAATGTCTTGCTAAAAGAGAAGTTTCATGTGAGTATGTCTAAACCACAGTTTCAACGGCAAATTCGCACTGGAGGCAGAGTCTAACCACAGTTTCAGATAAAGATCTACTGCTCGCTTTGGGTTCCAAGAATTAGAATGTTTTGTTGCTGAGTTTTTCCTCTCTGTTTTAGGCTATAGAAAGAGAAAAACAGCTGTAAAGTCTTACAGCTACAGTTTTGGGGGCATTTTTCGTTGTAATTAATTATTTAACTTTTGCATAAAATGATTTAAAAATCAGTATTCTACAAAATAGTTTGTCAAACCACTGTTTTGATGATGGCATTTATGAAACACAAGTTACTAAGTCTGTTGAGAGCACATTTTTTCAGTTGTATTTATAAATCACTTAATTTATTATTGATTAATTATTTATTAATGAATATTAATAAGATGTTCTCACTCTCTTTTATCAAAATGGTGAGCTGAGCTTGCTACTCATCTAAGACTATGAGATGAAGTGTACTGCCCTCTTGTGGCCTTTAGTGGGATTTTGCTGTTTGTTTTGACAGGCAGACTTGAGTGACTTCTAGTGGCTGAATGATCATACGCATCCAAATGTGCTTCCGCATATTCCACATTTTTTGCCTATGTGTGAACATGCAAGACTTGCAAAAGCTGTTGGCTCATGTCCCGTTTTCAGTCTGGCTTTACCCCGCTGTTAGAAGACACTTTCGACCACAGAATAAATTGTATCTTAGCTCTCTGCAAATAGCACATTTCTATGGTGGTGTCGGTAACTATCCTAAAGGTTTGTTTTAGCTCCATCGAATACAAAGAGGCACTCAATATTAAGTGTTTTGCTCGTGCACAAATGTTAATTTAGAGCTTAAAATACGATATTTATTGTTAATATGCATTGACAACAAAAACATTTAGTTTTACTTTGCTTTGACAAAACAAAACCGAGTAAAGCATATGTAAATATTAGCCTATTATTTCAGACACTGCGTCTAGGTTCACAGAAATGAAGAAATAATGCCATGTGTTACGTTAAAACTAGGCCAGTAGAATACTGATGTCTATTTGAAGAGGTGAGTTACCATATATTTCTCATTTGAATGATTGTCTTCACCAAAAATAGAACGTTCTGCTGAGCAGGTGTCATTTTAATTCTCTGGTTTGGATTGATTATTCAACAAAGATTGAGATGTGCAGGTAAACCCACTGATACATTTAATACACTGTTTCTTACAGAGGAAGTGCAAACATGTTCCAGGATCTGATATAAATTGGGAGACACTAAGGTAAAGATTTCAACTGTTTCAGAATTGAACGTATATATTAAATTTGTTTCACCACAATTTCACATTTAAATGTATTAGAGGGGTTTTGGCATCTTGATCATTGATGCATGATATTATTAGGGCCCGAGCACCGATGGTGTGAGGACCCTGTTGGAATTGCTCAGTTTCTTCTTCTTCTGCAAAATGAATCGCATTTTTGAGGGCCTAAACATGCTCAAAAACTC